CCCAATCCGCGGGGCCAAAGGTCGCCCTGCTGCCCGAGGAGCGGCTGCTGCTCGAGGAGCGGCTGCTGCTCTCTACTCCGCCTCTGGCTCTGAGGGCTTTTGCCTCTGTCCTCGCTGCCCACGGGCTCCAGAATGTCCCCGGAGAGCCGCCACACGGGCCAGGGTCACAGGCGTGGTGCGGAGTGACAGCAGCCAGGAGTGTGATCCCGTGGAGAACAAACGTCCAGCACACAGACTGGGTGCAGAGGCCCACACTTGTGATCCCAGCACTCTGGGAGGCTGAGGCAGGAGGATGGCAAGTTTGAGCCCAGATTGGGCAGTTGAGCAAGACCCCATCTCAAAAGAAAAATGAGAAAAGGGAACCCAGGAGGTAGCTCAGTGCAAAGGCCTTGCGTTCCACCTCCAACGCCTCAAAATGAATACTTAACTTTTTTTTAATAGTGGATTTTCAGATGTGTTTTCCATAAAGAGAAAAATATTCAGAGTCCCAGGGCACTGAGGAGAGGAGGGGCTCTTTCCTGGGGAAAGGTTCTAGGGAACAGGCTCAGGCTGGCGGGTGCAGGCGTGGGGCCCCTTCTGGGCTGAGCCTGGACATGGGCAGCTGCACTGGCCAGGGCCAGGCGCCCAAGGGCCATGAGGTCAGTGCCTATAGGACAAAGGGACAGTGTCTGGCTCCTGCCACAGCGGGTGTGGAGACCCGTAACCCTGCAGGGAGCAGCCTTGAGGGCTCAAGGGCTGGGAGACTGGGTGGGGGCAGAGAGAGAGGCAGGTGGAAGAAGTTGGGTGTGGCGGTGCATGCCTGTCATCATCCCAGCTTCTCAGGAGGCTGAGGCTGGAGGATCACTTAGGGAGACCCTGTCTCAAAGTAAAAGAAAGATGGAGCCAATGATTGGAACTCAGGCCAAACCCATGCCCCTCTTTATCCTCCAGAGACCCTGCCTCATCCCTGGAGATGCCATCAATGGTCCCATTTCACAGGTGGGGAAACTGAGTCCAGAGGTGCCCACCAGACCACCCGAGGCTCCAGTGGGAGGCCAGGAGATATAGGTTCCAATAGCGCCGGCCTCCAAACCCATGAAGGTGAGATTTTGGGGGGGCCTCAGTTTCCCCTTCTGCAGGATGGGCTGTGGGGCAGGGTGGGGGGTGAGGGCTCCATGCCTGGCGACTGTGACCCACACACCAGCCAGGGTGACACAGAGCTGTGGGCGCCCCCACCATGGCCTCTGTCCTCTGCCATCTCCCTCCAGTACCCCGAAGTCAGAGTGGGCCCCGGATAGGGTGGGCCACAGCTCTAGGGGTCGGGGGGACCCGAGGGGAGGCTGAAGGGCTCCCCGAGAGGTCCCTGGAGGAGGCCCCCCAGCTCACAGTTACCGAGAAGACAGACAAAGCTGGCCAGGTGGGCCGTCGCCCAAGCTCCAGGCTGCAGGGCCCGCCTTGCTCCAGGGCACTGGGGAGCCACAGCAGGTGTGATTCAAATTCCCAACCTCATGGAGGTCCCAGCCTGAGGTTTGCAGCATCCTGCCCCCGCCCGCCTGCTGCCTACTCAAGGGCCTTTTCTTGGCTCTGTTTCTGGCCCACTTTCGGATGCCCCGGAAGGCTCCTGGGGGAGGGGCAGGCAGGAAGGAGCGAGTCACACGGGCCGGAAACCATGGCGGGAGGAACCACAAAGTGTCCCTACCCCCTCGGCTTCTGCCTTCTACTCAGGGAGAGTGACCTTGAGCTAAGCCCAAAGAAGGCCAAAGGGCCATCTACAGAGGGTTTTTTTGTTTTTGTTTGTTTGGGCACCCGGGACCGAATTCAGCACCTTGCGCTTGCAAGGCAGGTGGCGGCCCCACTGAGCTACATCTCCGGCCCTCTACAGAGGGTTCTGCAGTATGGACAGGAGTTGGCAAGGAGGAGATCACTGCGTTCATTTAATAAACACACTTGCAGGCATCATTCCTCAAGAAGACTTTCCTTGTCACTCGATCAGGACTTTCTACTGGCTGGATCATTTGAAGGTTTTTCAAGAACACACAGAAGGGTATCAAGAAAAAACTCCTTGATCGACCACGCTCCCTGAGCCCCTCGCGGAGGCAGTTAGGAGAGTTTGGACGGTGAGTGCCGGGGCGACACCACCACCACCACCACCACCACCACCACCACCACCACCACCACGGGCCGGTGTGGAGCCTTTAAGAGGCGGGGCCTCGTGAAGTGAGGTCATTGGAGGCGTGGCCTCGGGCCCCTGGCCTCCAGGACACCAGGATGCCCCCTTCCCACCAGGATGGATCAGAGTAGCTGGCCAGGAAGCCCTGGGCTGAAACCTCCAAAACCCTGGGCCTAAAATCATTCCTCTTTTTAAGCTGGTTATCTCTGGTATTTTGTCACAGTTAGGGGATGCTGATAGATATTTAGTTCACAAGAAAAAAATGAATTTGTTCAATGCCCCCTGAAAGCCAAACAGAATCCAAAGCAGAATTTGAAGGACACAGATCTTCATGGAAAATTTTTAGTCAAGTCAGTCAGTCATTCAGTCAATCAACAAACACCCCAGCTGCCTGCCGGGCAGGATTCCTCCACGTGGAGTAGGGGTATTTAGGACCTTGCTGGTGGCAGTCCTGCCAGCAGCCCACCAGCGTCGGGTTCAGGCAGAGTCCCAACATCAGGGTCCGACTGGCTGACAGGATCACATAGCTCCCTTGAGCCAATGACAAGGGGTTGACATACGTAAAACATGCTGGGTCCCACATCCACCCCAACCCAGATTAGATGCAAACTTCCGGGTAGAACCAGCCAGAGCAAGCGTTGGTCACGGTAAGATTCGAGCTTCCTATCACTTGAAGAAATCAAGCTACAACCGGAAGTTCCCTCATGGCAGTGTTGCTATATAAAACGCAGGCCAGCCAGTGAAGCGAGGGTTTCAACACGTCGTTTTTTACCACAACTCTGCCCCAAGCATGGCAGGAGAAGTGCTTACAGAGAAAAATTATTCATTGTTTGTTGAAATGCATGTTTAACTGGGTGGCTGCTTTAGAAAACAATCTGGCAGCCTGTCACAAATTTGAAATGTAGAGGTAACATATGGCCCACGAAATCTACTCCCAGGTACGTCCCCAAGAGAAGTAAAAATTCATTCCACAGGAAACCTTGTACTTTTCGAAAGAGAGCAGCTCTCCTCAGACGAACCAAATAAAGGAAAAAACTCAAACGACCACCTGCACCACACGGTCTGTCCACGTGTGGGAATATTACTTGGCCGGGAAGAGGGATGAAGCTCTGATATCTGCTACCAAATATCTGAAATACATGACCCAAACTAGACCCAAAAGGCCACACATCCACACAAAAGGCCCCGCAGGCTGGGTGCAGGGCACAGGGAGTGGCCTGTGGTGAGAACATGGTTTCTTTTTTTGTACAAGGGGTCAAACTTGGGTCCTTGTGCTTGCGAGGCAGGCGGTGGAACCACTGAGCTAAATCCCCGGCCCCATGATTTCTTTTGAGAAGAAAAAATTTTGGTGGAATCTCATTCTCTTAAAACAACTAGGGCTGGGCTGGGAATTTCGTTCAGTGGCTCCGCGCCTACCTCAGAAGTGCAAGGTCCTGAGTTTTTCTCAGAAACCCAAAGAAAACAAACAGCCGGGCGAGGTGGCACATCCCTGTAATCCCAGCACTCTGGAGGCTGAGGCAGGAGGATCTCAGTAAATTCAAGGCCAGCCTCAGCTACATAGTGAGTTCAAGGCCAGCCTGGACTATGTACCAAGATCCTGTCTCAAAAACAAAACAAAAAACCAATACTTTATCCATCATGAATATCCTCACTGTTTTCTTTTCAGTGCCCTGTACTAGGATTAAGCCCATGATCTTCTCACTGAGCTACATCTCCAACCCTTTTTGCATTTTATGAGAAACCCAAAGTATAAAGAAGGAGCACAGTGAGACCAAGGACAGGAAGCAGGGTGACGGGCCTTTCTCAGAGGGGGAGGGGACCGAGGGCGGGAGGGACGGCCAGGCCGGGATGGGGGGGGATGAAATAAGGGGTTAGGACGTGCTCTGCGCTTGCAGAGGCTCCGCACAAAGGATGTGAGTGTTCTGTGCTGCAGCCCGGGCTGCTAAGGACAGCGATTGACAGAATATTCTTCCTCGCGATGGCCGGGAGTGCCTGGGGCCGGGCGTCTCTCTCTGCACCCTGGCGAACCCTTCTGACCCTCGGTTTCCTCATCTGCAGAACGGCACGAGTAGTGTTCCTTTACTTCTTGGAAGATTCGCTGCGAACATGTTGACTTCTACTGGGCGTGGTGGTTCGAGCCTGCGATCCCAGCAAGAGGGAGGCTGAGGCAGAAGTTCAAGGCCAGCCTGGACTACGTGGCGAGACACTGCGTCGAACAACAGCAACAACAAAACTGTTTACCTCTGTGCCCTGCAGAGGGACAGGGCCAGCTCCCCCCCACCCCGGACCTTCCCTTTGGGCCGGCGGGGAGGGGCGGGGCCGGGGGCGTCAGCTGACCGGAGCGATCCCAGCAAGAGGGAGGCTGAGGCAGAAGTTCAAGGCCAGCCTGGACTACGTGGCGAGACACTGCGTCGAACAACAGCAACAACAAAACTGTTTACCTCTGTGCCCTGCAGAGGGACAGGGCCAGCTCCCCCCCACCCCGGACCTTCCCTTTGGGCCGGCGGGGAGGGGCGGGGCCGGGGGCGTCAGCTGACCGGAGAT